ATCAGTTTTATTGGATGGGTGTGCTGATTTAGTTCAATGGCAGAAATAAAGCCAGCCCAGCTTTTCAAACTGTGCCAATTACCAGACTGACATCTCACCTTGATTTCAACCTGGTTGAAGGTCTTGCCATTGTACACTCCAACCATAGACCCAACCATCTCAGGCAGGATGATCATGTCCCTCAGGTGGGTCTTCACCACCTCTGGTTTCTCCATGGGAGGAGCCTCCTTCTTTGCCTTACGCAGGCGCTTAAGGAGAGTCTGCTGCTTGCGACGCAGGCCACGGTTCAGCCTCCTCCTCTGGCGGGCGCAGTACAGCTGCATCAGCTGCTCACTAGAGGCAGGACATGAAGGAAAACAATTTAAATCAAGTCTCACGCCTCCAAATCCCAGATGCAAGTAAGAGAATAAATCACGTGTCCATACACAAACTATTTAATGCTGTCAGACACATAAAGGTAAAAAAAATGGCTGCCAATATTAGACAAGTAAATTCTAGTTTCAGTGTCCAGTCTCAAGCCTCTTTATTCAGTTTTGACCTGCAAGCGTCAGAGTTGAATAAATCATCTTAAAAATTTGACTATTTTATTTTCATTGAGTCAGTATTATCACTTATAAACCTCTCTGTTGTCACAGTAAGACACTCACAAATTACATTATGTCAGGATGTGCAGTAGTAGTACAGTAACTCTAGTTGACTGAATGACATCACCAGTGACCGTCTCAGTTGTGTCACTTACTAGGACATGTCCAGAAGCTGGTCCAGGTCCACACCTCTGTATGTGAACTTCCTGAAGGTACGCTTCTTCTTGATCTCGGTATCCGCCTGGAAGAAACGGGATCACCCCAGTGAGTACGTAGCTTAGCATTTAACACTGATGCTTCAGAATTTAACAGGCGTCACTCATTTTCACCATTAAACGTCAATGAGTCAGTTTAATAATCCATGCACAACCAACTACAGTAATATTATAATGACTATTTTATTTCAGCTACTGCTACGGGTAACGCTCTACCACCGGGTTAGCTTAGCCATAGCTCCGGCTAGTACGGAGGCTGTAAACACAGTTTAATCTTTCATTTGGAGCAACGATTTTCTACTGGATGGTAATAAAAACTGTGGAACTACTCGATGACACAGTCAGCTGTTCAAATCAGCAACTTTAGAGCCCCGATGCATACAGATTGTAGTCTGACTAGCTGCGAGACGGCACAAGCACCTACCATCTTGCCTGATGTTCCGGGGGAAAAGAACGGCCAGAAGTCTCGCAAGGCCAGATATCGCGCGATTTCTGGCAAACATCCGGTGATGTTTTCCGGGCGTTGATCTCCTCTGTGAACAGCAGGTGGCGCAGCTGCAGAGTTACTGTAGTTTGTGTCCAGTGTCAGATTTCAACCAACGTGTCCTGTTTTCATTACTGTCTGTGTTACCACAGATATGGCAGGGTTAGTTCTGCTTTTTAGGAGGAGAGAAGAGTTACACAAACAAAAACATTACAGGAAAGTAGTGAGCAGACAGATCTTCGCAGAAAGGCAGTAAAAGTGTTCCGAAATTCTTTAAGTCAGATGAAGTATTTTCAGTTCATGCGGTGTCCCAATTGGCCTTAAATCTTATGAGACCATTTCATTTAAATAACTAAAACTCCTCACTTTTATCTCATGACTACATAGGTTTAGGCCGGAAACCCCAGGACTAAACATACACAGTTGTAGTCAGTAGTTTAAACACACTGGGGGTTATGGGCATGAATATCATGGTAATTTGTGGCTTTTAAGAGTCAAGAGTCCAAGATCATCAGTTCAAATAACTTTACATCAGTACACGTTATTCAGATGTATCACCACTTTGCCAAGGTCTGGAAGAAGACCCAAATTATCACCCTCAGATGAGAGAAAATTGGTTGGGATGATCAGCAACAACCCGCAAATTACAATAAACAACCAATTTGTTGTATCTTCAAGTGTCTTTTTTGGCTTGCCTGGGTTCACCTTGTGTATACAAGTGCCAAGAGCTTCAACTTGACTTTATACCAACAGCTAGACAGTTAACACTTGGACACAGTTGGGTCATCCAACAAGACAATGATCCCAAGAACATATTAAAACTGGTTTTCAAATGGCTAAAGCAGACCAACATTCAGCTTCTAGAATTCACCTCCCCAAAGCCCCGGACCTTGATCCTATTGAAAATTTAATGATCAAATATTCAGTCAGAATTATTTGTTGATGTCAATTTCTGACCATACGTGTACAGTTTCTAACTGTCCAGGTTTATATAAAACTAGTTAACAGACTACGGCTATATAGCAATATGTAACTTATTTTATTTGTTATACTGGGACTTGGTTACTTATTGCAGTGTTATTCATGACCCTTCCCATCTTATATTACGTCATCTCTGCCTGGTTTGTTGTATCTTCAATTGTCCTTTTTAGCTTGCCTGGATTTACCTGTGACGGATGTATACATTGTTTCTTGGTTACACATAAATGCTATGGCACAAATTCAAAATATGTGTCAGTCTAAATAACACACCCAAGTTCACACCCCGTATGGGTTTTCATAGTGAATACGTATTGAAAATTTATAGCACCAAATCAATTGTAGTTTTATTTTTTTATTATGTTAAAAAAATAGATAGATAGAT